GGCCCATATATATCCCTGTGAATTCGTTGTAAAAAGGTGGGAGATTCAACAATGACTTTTAAAGGGGATGGTCTAATAATCAACTTGCCTTGTGAGCAGGCGGTACATAGATGATTATTTGGTAACAGGATTTTTTGATCCTTTAGTGGGTAACTATATGAATTTTCAATAATTCAACGCATCATTGTAGTCCTTGGGTGACCAAGTCAATCATGCAAAAGCATAAAAAGTTTTGGGTCACAAGATTTTTGGTGTATCACAACATTTGATTCAACTGTCCTGATGGTTATATAATATAACCCAAAAAAGAAAACTTGAAGTTTTTCAAGTACATGTTTTTTAAAAGTAATACAGAGATATTCCATATTTCCTTCATTCGTGGTCTCAATGTAATACCCATTGTTATGTAAGTCTTTAAAGCTCAAGAAATTTCTTCGAGATTTAGTAGAATATAAGGCCTTATCAATATGTATTATTGTCCCACGTAGTGAAGCAATATTGACGTTTCCATAGCCTTCAATCAAACTTATGGGACCTGAAATTGTACTAACACTAGCCTTAGTCAATGTTAAATGGGAAAAATATTTTTTATCTCAAAAAATTGTGTGTGTTGTTCCACTATCTGCAAGGCATATATCATCGCCATTAACCAATGCATTTGATAAATCCATGCCCTTTGGAGTGAGAAATACAATATTCTTTGGTAAAGCAAACAAACCCAATAATCTATCAAAACTAATATCACAAAATAGATATATAGAGTTAAGATAGAATGAGGGCTTCTTTTTCAAGTCTCAGATGGTTAGAGCTCGTGCTGATAACGTGTTATAAATATACTAATAGAACACAATAGATTGAAAGAAAGAGAAAAGAACTTTCTTTATTTCTCTTATATTTTTTGTACACTTAGAATACCAAAATGAACTGATATTTATAGCAATACAATGTGCTTGTAAATAAGTTATGATTGCAATGGTAATCATTATAATTCAACTAACATAGAAATCATAAATGCAATTTGCAGTATTCATATTCCCAATGTATGCGTACTGATTGTGCATTTGCAAGATTCCTTAAATTATGTGCCATCATTTACAACTTGTATATAAAGGAATATAGTTATGGGCCCCATATAAATATAACAGAAATAAAATTATTTATTTGCCTCTTTTATTTAAATGAAACAATAGAGTAAGAAAGAACTGAGGGAAAGAGAAGTAGATGAAAAAATAATATAAAAATATTTTGACACTGTATATATATATATATATATATATATATATATATATATATATATATATATTTCAATAGCAAGAAAGGATTTTATTAATTAGAAACATTGAGTATATCCACACTAGCTTTGGATAAGACAAACTCAGGAAAGTTATCAACCCATACACATTAGCACTTATCCCTCAAAGCTTGACTAGCAACAACATATGCAACTTCATTCCCCTCTTAAGGCACGTAAGCCAATTCAAACCCCAGATGATGATTAAACTAGACTCTGATATCACTAATAAGAAGAGATTAAGAGACTTCATTATACACTGCTCTAACAATTAACTCTACATCTGTTTCAAACATGATTCTGTTATAACGCCATTGAATAATCAGCTCCACAACCTTCCGGAGAACTAAAGCTTCAGCTACCGTTGGATTAGGGACTCGTTGGAAGAAAAAAGAAGTCATACGAACTATACTACCGCGATGATCACGCAGCACCAAACTACCTCCAGCTTTAGATAAACCAGTAAAAAATGAAGCATTAGTATTTATTTTAAAAATATCTGCAAGAGAAGCATTGCATCCAATAGAGATTCTTCAACGATTCCCATTAAACCAACAATTCTTTTGGTCAACTAGAGATTTACCAACAATAGCCAAATTTTCCATGCAATGAACCTTACCAATTTTAATAATCTCAAAAGTGTCCCACCATTTTCTTTAAAAAATGCAAGCATTTCTGGCCTTCCAAATTTGCCAACATAGAAAACCAGCCATGCTTTTCAATACCTGTTCTCATCAGCCTCAATCCAAATCTCCATCTTTGATCTCTACCATCTATCTCATTATCCATGCCCCACTTCATCCCCATCCACGTGAAACATAGATAATTTCCAAACTAACTTAGCTCTAGAACAGCAATACAAGAGATGACTAACAATTTCAAGTTCACCATCACAGATTCTACAGAAAATATTTTCTGCCAACTTCTTCGGCCTAAACTTTTAAATACTGCCACTTTCTCATTCAAATATCTCCAAAGAAAATGCTTGATTTTAGGCTTTACCTTCAACCCCCACAAGACCTTCCATTGATGTTGTTTTTCTTCCCGCCCACCTGATTCACACTATTCTATGTACTTAACTTGATTATCCATTCTTTTCAATCTCAAAGCAACTTGATATGCAAATTTGACACTAAAAGATCCATTAGATGTGAATAACCACCATTGTGTATCCTCTCCTTCCAAATTCCTTAACTGAATCTGCAAAATTCTCTTCCAATCATCTTCAATGAAAGTTTTTTTAATCAAGGACTCATTGATCGGTATGACAATTATACATCAACCTTTGCAATAGCACAAATCATTGTAAAATAGGGCTATTGGTCGGGTAAGTCGAACCACTGGGACTGCTAGTTTATGGCAACTAAGATATCTAGAATCACTTTTAGAATGATGAAAGGGTTTATAGAGTTTTGTTGGTTTGTCACTAAAATTAAGAATTAAAATACATAAAACACTAAAGTAAAGAGGTAAAGATAAATAAGAAGGGACTAGGGAAGTGAATCCACCTTCAACCCTATACACATGCTAGACAAAGACTAAATTGGGGATAGACAATATATAATGGTCAAGAATTATATAGCAACACATGATTGCCATATAATCATCAAGAAGTTCATTAAATCAAAAACAAGAATAATCCATCAAAAGTTTATACATTTGAGCTACCTAAACTAGGGTGTAGCATCAAGCATACTCTCTTAAGCAAAAGATCATCAAGCCTTTAATCATATAATAAAGCATATGAAACTAGGAATCAAGCATAAACCATCAAAGGAAATACCGAAGCAATAGACTATCAAGTTTCTCTATTAACATGCCATGAAAACCATTCACAATTTTATTTCCATTGTCACCATGAAAATGCAAGCATTATGATTGAGATAAGAAACCATCTAAGACAAAATAATTAACTTAAAACAATCATTTATGTGTATTAAAATTCATTACATCAAGTAATATGCTCTAGATTATGAAAAGACCAAACTATACATCATTATCCTCAAAATAGAAGCTAATCTAAAACATGCTTACAAGGGAGGGCTTCATCACCTCCCTACAGAATGATTTAATTACCCGTAGGAACAAGGAATGAAGAAGAAGAAGCAAATCCACCCTCCATTTTCGTGCTCCAGCAAGCTAGCACCTAAAACCCTCAAGATCACTCATTTCTCTCTCTAGAACTTAGCTAAAATGTGTGATATCCCTCAATAATAATGCCTCAAGGCTCTTATCTAGCCAAAAACCCCTCTCCTCACACTCCATCACAAGCTCCAACCACTCTAAGGAAGTAGAATCACACAAAAATTTCAGAGGGAACAAGTTTAGCACAAAAACAGGAGCAGGTGGCTTACTCTCTGCAGATCAGCAGGTGCCCCCAGTGCGCTGGCGGGTGCCCACGGGCTTTCATGGCTCGAAGGGAGCTACTGGCATAAACGGCGGGCGCCCGCTGTGGCGCAGCGGGCACCAGCGAAAGCTCGGCGGGGGCACGTGAACCTATGCGGGACCCTGCGAAACAAGGCAATGGGTTGACAAATTTAGCGGGCCCCCGCAGGGCCTTGTGACTGCAACACATCAACACAGCTTCTCGTGCCACTCCGAGTTGGTCCGTCGACACGATTACCATTATGAGCATTATGCCACGAACTCCACACATACGACGACTCAAGAGGTTCGGTCCAGAAGATGGCTCCCCGGCAACAGTGTATCTATTTCAACAAGAGATTTTTCAAAACTACTTCTTTAATCATATTTGGGGAAACCGACCTGAAACAAGACAGAAATACACAAATGAAGTTAAACTGTACATTATACTCCATTAATGGGCTTAACTAATGCAAGTAAGGGCGTTTGAATATGTAATATTCGACGTTTATCACTCATTCCATCCTCTCGAGTTTTGATCAATCAAATCAACCACTCTGTATATGCGATAATGAGATGGGGTTGGAGTCCTTAAACTGGAATTCATTTTATCTGGAATCCACTTATCCTCCCAAACTTGAATATTTTGATAATATATAAACAATATATATTTCAGAATTTAATAGTTTATTTTATAATATGATACATACTTAGATTATGTGGGATCAAATTATTATCCATCAATCATAATTCAGATATTAATTTGTTCAATTACTGAATTCTCGGATTCACCCAATTATTCGATTAAATTGTTCAATCAATGCACGAGTTAATGTATTAGATTTAGATTAAATTTTGATCAATTAATGTGTCTAATTTCTGATATGTAGAGCAGGAGTTTAGAAAGAGAAAGGATTTCAGGTAGTTTAATAACTTTGCATGACAAGGAAAATATGATGCAAGTCTGAAAAAATAAAAGTAAAAAAGAATAAATTACACTTGACACCACATCGAGATAAGCAAAATTGTGTATATATATAGGTCAAGTGCAGAAAACACCCTAAAGTAAGTTTACAGTGCATATCACACCATTCACGTGGAAAAAACACCCCTAAAGTTTCAATTTAGTGCAAATATGTCCATCTAACAAATTTAAACCCAAAGTTGACTAAATTACCCTTACTGAATCATTTTATAAAATACGCAAAATAGAAAAAAAATCTCCCTGAACTATGCAATTGTTGCGTAATACCCCCCTGAACTATTTTTAGGAGCAAGTTTGACACACCCCAACCCAATTTACTCTAGTTAATAAATTGAACAAATTGGAATGTATCTAACCATCTGCATTAACCACATTCAACATGACATCATCATATATCAGAGTACTTGCTTAACAATTTACAATCTAAAAGCAAATTATAGACCTGTTATGCAAATTCTGACAAACTAAATCGTTAATGACAAGTTCTATTACAATATTTACATCTTAAACAAAAGACGTTCCATTATTCCTTTCCCCATTCCCACTCAAGATTCTAGACTTGGCAGTAGCAACCTAACCTTGTACCTGAAAATATAGATATGGAAGTAATGAGCTTAAAGCCCAGTGAATGCAACACTATCACATCAGAGTAATATAAATAAATATTATCTAATAACTTCAATTAAACTTCATTAACATATTACAGGCATTAAAATATTGTACTCTCCTTCTAGGCCAGAGTATGGACCTTATTTAATATAATACTCTCCTTCTAGGCCAGAGTATGGACCTTATTTAATGTAGTACTCTCCTTCCAAACCAGAGTATGAACCTTATATAATATATTACTCTCCTTCCCGGCCAGAGAATAGACCTTATATAATATAATCAAGTTATATATATATATTTATCTTCAATTTACATAAACAGCTTCTATAATTCAATTAAACATATTCAGGTATAAACTTCCAGTGAGTACACTCACCTTGACTACTTCTCAAATTGTCTACTTATCCTTTGATATTGCCGAAGTGATCGGTTCCCTCTCATTGCCTGAACAATATTATAACCATGTCATATTCATTTCTAAAGAAAGTTGAACAGAAATTATCAACTTCATAACAAATCTCAATTCCGTACACAATTGCAATGGAAATTCTAACAAGAATAATTATAGTAACTTTAGTTGAATAATTTCATCAATTACCCATTATTTTAAACTCATAATACTTGAATCAAGTAAAATAAATAAATAGTATAGATATAATTTATGTAAAATTTATTTAACCCAATTGTTCATTGGACCACAAGACTATAAACTTTCAACATAAACAAAAATATTCTTTACTTTTAGTACTAGCTACCGGAAATTTCAGAGAGAGAATTTTTGGTTACTTCTTTCTCTCCTTTCAATCTCTTTCCTTTTCACCTTCGCCCCAGCCACTACTTCCCATGAATTTCATCTTTTAATTAATTTTTGTGGGTTTAAAATAGTAGCCACATAATACCAAAATTTTGTTTTCTCTTGCTATAAATCTTTTCAAAGTTTCCAAGACCAACATCTCAATCTCATCATTTACCATAAATGAATTTCTAAGAAAGATATCAAGATACAAATCCAATATATTTACACATACCCAGCAAGAAGTTTACAACCCAATTGAAGGAAGAAAATTAAACTAAATAGAATTTCTTCCAAGAATAGTTTATCACTTCAACTACAGGAACTTCCAATAATAAATTTATATTAAGAAAATTTAAACAAATAAATATTTATATATACCTGCCTACTGAGTTTTTTCGGGCAACCCTTTCCTTTTCTTTTATTCTTTCTCTTTTCAGTTTTCTCTATTCCTCCGCCCTTCCTAAACTCGTCGTTTCCACTTTTCTTTTCTTTTTTTCTTTTTTTTTTTTTCTTGTCCATGTATATCTAATAGGCAACGTGTCACTTAAATGCTAAATTTGGTTTTCTCTTCTTCGTGCATGTGTACCAGTTGGTAACAGCTTCCAAAGGAAGCTTTATTCACATACTGTATGCTTATATACACTTGCTTATCCAAGTGCTTTGATGAGATACTGGACCACACATTAGTTGTATTAGGATAATGCTATGAAATCTTAGTGCTTGATATTTGTCCAGTAAATCAATTCATAATAGCTTCCAAAAAAAAAACTTGAATATATAAATATAACATGGAAATAAATCTTTTGGAAATTTCTAGCACTACTACTTTGTAAACTTTAGTCACTATTACCCATACACACACTTCATGGTAACAAACTCATCATTCAAATCTTCTTTACATACCTATCTCATGAATTCACACCCACACATACGTGCCAACTTTCATTTATTTATTTATTTACTTAATTAACTAAACTAAATAAACATTTTAAAAACTTAATTCACCTTAATAAAAGAATAATAAAAAAATTATAAAACTAAATAAGAATTCGGGATATGACAATCTACCCCTCTTAAAATAAATTTCGTCCTCGAAATTAAAATGCATAAAACATACCGAACAAGTGAGGATATTGCGTTCTCATATTCCTCTCATTCTCCCACATTTTTTCTTCCACTGTATGACTCCACCACAAAACTTTAACAGTGATATAGTTTTATTCCGTAGCACTTGTTCCCGGTGATTCAAAATATGTACCAGTTCCCCTACATAAGTCAAATCTTCCTTCAATTCTATCGGTTCCGCAACTAAAACATGAGATGGATCTGATATATACTTTCGAAGCATAGACACGTGGAAAACATCATGTAATCTTGATAATTCTTCTGGTAATTCCAACTGATACGCTACTACTCCTATCCGTTCCAGAATTTTGTACGGTCCAATGTACCTAGGACTTAATTTACCCTTCCTTCCAAGGAGAAATACGAAGAAAAACAAAATCACCAACTTCAAATTCCAAATCTCTTCTTTTTCGCACATCCACATAACTTTTTTGTCTATCCTATGCTACTTTCATACGCTGCTGAATTACCTTCACTTTTTCTGTTGTAAGTTCAATCAATTCTGGACCCAATAACTTTCTTTCACCCACTTCACCCCAACATAATGGAGTTCTACATTTTCTCCCATACAAAGCTTCATACGGTGCCATCCCAATAGTAGACTGATAACTATTGTTATAAGCAAATTCAATCAATGGTAAATAGTCATCCCAACTACCTTTGAAATCCAGCACACAAGCTCTCAACATATCTTCCAAAATCTGAATAGTTCACTCTAACTGCCCATCCGTCTGTGGGTGAAAAGTTGTATTGAACTTCAAAGAAGTTTTCATGGCTTCATGTAAATTACACCAAAATCTCGAAGTGAACTTCAGATCCCTGTCACAAACAATAAAAACTGGAGCCCCATGCAAACATATGATCACATCAACATACAAACGAGCATATTCCTTTATAGAATAAGTAGTTTTCACTGCCAGAAAATGAGCTGATTTAGTCAATCTATCAACTATCACCCAAATTGAGTCATGTCCCTGTTTTGATCTTGGAAGTCCCGTCACAAAATCCATGGTTACATGCTCCCATTTCCACTATGGAACTGGTAATGGCTGTAACAACCCCGCTGGTTTCTGATGTTCAGCTTTTACCCGTTGACATATCAAACACTTTGCTACAAATTCTGCAATTTCACACTTCAAATTGTTCCACCAATAGTATTCCTTCAAATCCATGTACATTTTAGTACTCCCCGGATGCATAGCATATATAGAACTATGGGCTTCATCTAAAATATCTTTCTTCAAGGAAACATCATTTGGAATACAAATTCGACTTTTAAAATACAAAATCCCATCATCCCTAACTGTAAATTCAGTTTGCATACCTTCTTGAGCTTTTCTTCTTTTCTTATCCAGAAATATATCATGAACTTGCAACTCTTTAATTTTATCCAGTAACAAAGGTCTCACCGTAACATGTGTAACCAATGCTCCTTTGTTAGTAACTGTCAATTTAACTCCCATCAGTCTCAATTCCATAATATTTGCCACCCGTGCACACTGTATACAAGATAGTCTCCCTGAAGACTTCCTACTCAATGCATCTGCTATTACGTTGGCTTTTCCAGGATGATGGTGAATATTACAATCATAATCTTTGCTTAACTCCATCCAACGCCTCTGTCTCAAATTTAAGTCCTTCTGTATAAACAAATACTTCAAACTCTAATGATCAGTGAATATTTCACAAATTTCACCATACAGATAATGCCTCCACAATTTCAAAGCACAAAACAATAGCAGCTAATTCCAAATCATGTGTAGGATAATTCAATTCATGATTCTTTAATTGTCTAGAAGCATATGCAATTACCTTGCCATTCTGCATCAAAACACATCCCAGACCCTGATGTGAGGCATCAGTATAAATCACAAAACCTTCACCACCACACGGAATAGTTAACACTGGGGTTGATGTTCACTTTTTCTTCAATTCTTCAAAACTTCTTTGGCATTCCTCACTCCACATAAACTTTACTTCCTTCCGGGTCAACTTTGTTAATGGCAATGCGATACTAGAAAACCCTTGGATGAACCTCCGGTAATAACCTGCTAATCCCAGAAAACTTCTAACTTTTGTCACATTAGTAGGCATTTCCCATTTCACCACTGCTTTCACTTTTGATAGGTCAACATAAATACCATCCCCAGATACTACATGCCCCAAAAATATAACTTTATCAAGCCAAAACTCACATTTGTTGAACTTAGCAAAAAGTTATTTTTCCCGTAAAATGTGTAACACAATTCTTAAATGCTTTTCATGTTCATCCACACTCTGAGAATATATCAAAATATCATCGATGAAGACAATAACAAAAGAGTCAACATACGGATGAAATACAAGATTCATTAAATCCATAAACACCGCTAGAGCATTGGTTAACCCAAAAGGCATTACCAAAAACTCATAATGGCCATATCGAGTTCGAAAAGCAGTTTTAGAAATGTCACTATCATTTACCTTCAACTGGTGATATCCTGACCTCAAGTCAATCTTAGAGAACACCTTTGCCCCTTGCAACTGATCAAACAGATCATCAATTCGTGGCAATGGATACTTGTTTCTGATGGTTACTTTATTTAACTGTCTATAGTCAATACACAACCGCATAGTACCTTCCTTCCTCTTAACAAATAACACCGGTGCACCCCACGGTCAAATGCTAGGTCGAATGAAGCCCTTATCCAGTAAATCCTGCAACTGTATCTTCAACTCTTTCAATTCTGTCGGTGCCATTCAATATGGAGCGATAGAAATTGGAGCTATTCCCGATACCAACTCGATGGTAAAATCTACCTCTCTGTCCACTGGCAACCCAGGTAATTCTTCTGGAAACACATCTGTGAATTCCTGTGCCACTGGTACATGTTCAAGTGTCACCTCTTTATTTTCAGTATCAATCACATAAGCCAAGTAACCCTAACACCCTTTCTTCAACATCTTTCTGGTTTGTATAACTGAGATGAGACAGTTTGGAATAACATTTCTTTCTCCGGTAAATCTGAATTCTGGCTTCCCTGGTATCTGAAATACAACTGCTTTCCGAAAACAATCTATTGAAGTATGATACGCACATAGCCAATTCATACCCAAAATGATTTCAAAGTCTGGTATACCCAACGGTATCAAATTCACTTTTAACTGTCTATCTCCCATTTGCAATACACAATCCCGATATTCATTTGCAACCACTACCACTTCCCCCATTGGTATAGAAATAAATATTTTACTATCTAATGATGAAAGTGGTTTACCCAAATGCATAGCAATAGATGATGCAACAAATGAATGAGTTGAGCCAGGATCAATAAGCACCGTAACATTTCTATCCAAAATAGAAAGTGTACCTGTCACCACTTCTGGTGTTGCTTGAGCATCCTGAAGTGTCATAGCAAACACTCTTCCCTGGGCTTGCGAACCACTTGTAGCACCCCTACCTCCTCTTGACGAGCTCCCCTGTGCAAACCAGAACTGACAACACTACCCACTGAAGTCACTCCTGTTAACATAGGACAATCTCTTTTCCGATGACCCGACTGGTGGCAATGATAGCACTCTTCTGCTTTTAACACAAGACAATCCTTCTTCTGGTGGCCTTCCCTTCCGCACTGAAAACACCCCCTGCCAGTACCACGTCTTCCAAACAATTTATGGCAAGTCAAATGATGATACAAGAAAGGCTGAAAAGACAATAGAAAGGAAAGAAAGGCTCAAATTATGAGAGGTTTATCAAGTTAACACCCCCAGAATTTTTAAGTACTACCAAACCAGAAGAAGCAGAGGGGTGGGTAAGAAGAATGGAATCGATTTTTGCAGTGATGGGTGCAGCAGCAGACCAGAAGATAAACTTAGCTACATTTATGTTAAAAAATGAAGCTAGTTATTAGTGGGACACAACAAAACATTTATTACTCATTCCAGGAGAGAAAGATGTGATATTATGGAATCCATTTGTTAAAGCTTTTTATGAGAAATATTTTCCTCCAATTTATAGAAAAGAGAAGGAACGGGAGTTTATTCTCCTAAAACAAAATAGAATGTCTGTAGTTGATTATGAAGTTAAGTTTACAGCTTTATCGAGGTTTGCACCCAAGTTTGTACAGAATGAAGAAGATAAATGTACAAAATTCCAGGATGGTTTAGAGGCGGCTATTAAGTCCAGAGTTTCAGTGTTTGAGGAAACAGATTACAACAGACTTGTGAATAAAGCCATGGTTGCCGAAAGGGATGTGAAAGAATTGCAAGAAAGAAGGGAACAATACAAAAGAAATAGATCTAAGCCATCACAATCAAGAGGAGGAGAAGGAATTTCAAGTTAGAAAAGTCAAAGGTCGCGATATGGAAAGGGAAGGGGTAGTAAATCTCAAGGGCAGACGTCAGGTATTAGAAGAGGTCAAGGGTTTTCCGAACAACAATCTGTACTAGCCTTCTCCATTTTCTGCAGACCAGTTAAGTACTCATGTTCTCTTCTCATACCACCCTGAATAGGTTGTTCCACTTCAGCCTCAACAGGAACATAAGAGGCTTCTTCCGCGATTCTATGATAACCACTTCCTCCTTCCATTACTTTTTATCTACAATGAAACTCAAATATAACAACATATATATATAATACATAATCACCACATATATTTGTTAGTATAAAATCAAGTCAAAGAAATGACTTTACTATACACTTCCTACTACCACTGCTAGTCTAGACTCTTACTACCTCCAGAACCTAGAAAACCTAGGCTCTGATACCAAAAGTTGACATAACCCAACCCAATTTACTCTAGTTAATAAATTGAACAAATTAGAATATATCTAACCATCTGCATTGACTACATTCAATATGACATCATCATATATCAGACTACCTGCTTAACAATTAACAATCTAAAAGCAAATTATAGGCCTGTTATGCAAATTTTAACAAACTAAATCGTTAATGACAAGTTCTATTACAATATTTACATCTTAAACAAAAGACGTTCTATTGTTCCTTTCCCCATTCCCACTCAAGATTCTAGACCTAGATGTAGCAACCCAACGTTATACCTGAAAATATAGATATGGAAGTAATGAGTTTAAAGCCAAGTGAATACAACACTATCGCATCAGAGTAATATAAACAAATATTATCTGATAACTTCAATTAAACTTCATTAACATATTACAGGCATTAAAATATAGTACTCTCATTCTAAGCCAGAATATGGACCTTATTTAATATAGTACTCACCTTCTAGGCCAGAGTATGGACCTTATTTAATGTAGTACTCTCCTTCCAGACCAGAGTATGAACCTTATATAATATATTACCCTCCTTCCAGGCCAAAGTATGGACCTTATATAATATAATCAAGTAATATATATATTTATCTTCAATTCACATAAACAGCTTCAATACTTCAATTAAACATATCCAGGTATAAACTTCCAGTGAGTACACTTACCTTGACTACTTCTCAAATTATCTACTTATCCTTTGATATTGCCGAAGTGATCAGTTCATTCTCATTGCCTGAACAATATTATAACCATGTCATATTCATTTCTAAAGAAAGTTGAACAGAAATTATCAACTTCATAACAAATCTCAATTCCATACACAATTGTAGTGGAAATTCTAACAAGAATAATTATAGTAACTTTAGTTGAACAATTTCATCAATTACCCATTATTTTAAACTCATAATACTTGAATCAAGTAAAATAAATAAATAGTATAGATATAATTTATGTAAAATTTATTTAACCCAATTGCTCATTGGACCACAGGACTATAAACTTTCAACATAAACAAAAATATTCTTTACTTTTAGTACTAGCTACCGGAAATTTCAGAGAGAGAATTTTTGGTTACTTCCTTCTCTCTTTTCAATCTCTTTCCTTTTCACCTTTGCCCCAGCCACTACTTCCCGTGAATTTCATCTTTTAATTAATTTTTGTGGGTTCAAAATAGTAGCCACAAAATACTAAAATTTTGTTTTCTCTTGCTCTAAATCTTTTCATACAAAGTTTCCAAGACCAACTTCTCAATCTCATCATTTACCATAAATGAATTTCTAAGAAAGATATCAAGATACAAATCCAATATATTTACACATACCCAGCAAGAAGTTTACAACCCAATTGAAGGAAGAAAATTAAACTAAATAGAATTTCTTCTAAGAATAGTGTATCACTTCAACTACAGGAGCTTCCAATAATAAATCTATATTAAAAAAATTTAAACAAATAAATATTTATATATACCTGCCTACTGAGTTTTTTTCCAGCAACCCTTTCCTTTTCTTTTCTTCTTTCTCTTTTCAGTTTTCTCTATTCCTCTGCCCTTCCTAAACTCGTCGTTTCCTCTTTTCTTTTCTTTTTTCTTTTTTTTTTCTTTTTTTCTTGTCCATGTATATCTAATAGGCAACGTGTCACTTAAATGCTAAATTTGGTTTTCTCTTCTTCGTGCATGTGTGCCAGTTGGTAACAGCTTCCAAAGGAAGCTTTATTCACATACTGTATGCTAATATACACTTGCTTATCTAAGTGCTTTGTTGAGATACTAGACCACACATTAGTTGTATTAGGACAATGCTATGAAATCTTAGTGCTTGACATTTGTCTAGTAAATCAATTCATAGTAGCTTCCAAAAAAAAAACTTGAATATATAAATATAACATGGAAATAAATCTTTTGGAAATTTCTAGCACTACTAATTTGTAAACTTTAGTCACTATTACCCATACACACACTTCATGGTAACAAACTCACCATTCAAACCTTCTTTACATACCCATCTCATGAATTCACACCCACGCATACGTGCCAACTTTCATTTATTTATTTATTTACTTAATCAACTAAACTAATAGACATTTTAAAATCTTAATTCACTTAATAAAAGAATAATAAAAAAAAACTAAAAAACTAAATAAGAATTTGAGATATGACAAAGTTGCTCCCTCAACTATTAAAAGCAAGCAAAATCCCCCTTTTAAGGCCATTGGAGACAACTTTTCGATCGGCAAAGTGATACAATTATTAATTTACCCTTAGTTATTAATATATTATAAAAAATATATAATTTCATGAATGTGAAATATCAATAATGCCCTCATATTCGATCCCATGGAATACCAATAATACCCTCATATTAGATCCCATGGTTTTCTTTTGCTTTCGATCCGAGTCTCTAATTTTTGGGTTTTGGAGTTTAAGCGATTTGGGATTTGTTTTTCTTCTTCCTTAGGATTTGCATTCACTGTAAGTTGGTTGTTCATTGATGGTTTATTTCTAACTTCAATGTTGGATTGATATGTTTATTTTTAAGCCCATATGCCTAGCATGTGCTTTGGCTTGTTTATGCTTATCTGTGTGATTTGTTGTTTATTTTTTGATCTCTCTGTTCATCACTTCTAGCTTCATTTTCTTTATGTTTTTCTTTCATTCTTCCCTGAATTTGTCTCTCTAACATGAGGGTTTTGTTTTGCGTAGTTAATAAAATATACATTTATTGATATTTTTAGCTGGCAAAGTTTCAAATTATTTGAAATGTTCCTTTTGATTGATGAGGAAAACGTAGGAAAAGAAATATACACTTAGCTGTGTGATTTGTTGTTTATTTTTTTATCTCTCTCTTCATCACTTCTAGCTTCATTTTCTTTATGTTTTTCTTTCATTCTTCCCTGAATTTGTCTCTCTAACATGAGGGTTTTGTTTTGCATAGTTAATAAAATATACATTTATTGATATTTTTAGCTGGCAAAGTTTCAAATTATTTGTAATGTTCCTTTTGATTGATGAGGAAAATGTAGGAAAAGAAAAGAATTAAATAGTAAATGGTACTTTTTACATAATTCGAGACACTAAAATTACACAAACAAACACTGATTTAGCTCATCCTAATACAATTCCTTCCCTTGTTGAGCTGATCTTGTAAGCTGTAACTTGAACTTTTGAAGAGGTAAAAAAAAAAAAAAAAAAAAAAAAGCATAAATCATTGGCCCTGCTTGGATTGGAACTAAGAAAACAGTTTTCTATTTTCACAGTGACAAAAAATAGAAAACTGTATTTTACTTTTGCTTGGATTATTTTGTGGAAACAGTTTTTGAAAAACTAAAAACCGATAGTTACATTTTAGAGAACAATAAAAAGGTGTACTCACAATTCTTGAGTTGCGATTCTCACTTTTTAGGAAACACGGAGAACAATTTATACTTAAAAAAATCACGTTGAAGGGCATCGTCTAAAACATCATCCTAATCTTATCGATTTTTCCACCTGAGTCGTCCATTCCTCCTTCTCCTCTTTCTATGCACAGAAGTGCTCTTTGTTTGGATCATCGAAGTAATCTAACCTCATCAAGAAGCTTCTCCCGGTTATTCCTCCCTCTCTCTAACAGAACATAACTCAGCTTTCTTTCCAGGTTTCTTCATCGATTAGATCTCATCTTCTCTGGATTTCTCACTGGTGTTGGGCTAGCGATCAACCGGAAAAAGGCTCACGATCGACTGGTTTAAAGACACTCTTTCAGGTAATCCATCGATCTCTCTCTCTAACATTATGTGGGTTTTCTTGGTTGGATGGATTCGATTTGTGGTGGATTTGGTTGTGGATTTGTTTGTCTAATAGGCTTGATTGATTTGCTTTCGTTGGCTGGATTTGGTTATGGAGAAATGGATTTTATGGTCTGATTTGGGTTTTCTTTCAAACCCCCAATTTATTTATTTTGCTTTTACAAGGGAGGTACGCAATTGGATCAAATCTTTTCATCTCCCCATGGTTAATCTAGTTGACACCAGATTGAAATCTAGGAATTTTCTTAAAATTTCCAATTTGGTTAACAAGTCTTGCACAAGAAATGTTTAAAATTCTAAAAGCATCGAGGGTATTAAATTGATGAACTGGTAGTTAAGATTGACGGGTACGGATTTTTCTATTTTCATTTCTAAACCCTTCGCATCTTTTTTTATGGAATCCATTCGTGTACATGCTTTTCTGCTCCTTAAAATTATTTAAGATAAAAAATATTTGATTTGGAAAATGAAAATAAAACTAAAAATCAGATGCTACCATTGAGTACAGTTTCATTTTTTAAATATTATTGGCATAAATAATTGTAGCATTTTTTTTCTTGACATTCTTACCAATAATTGTAATGGGATTTGAATTAAATTAATTTGCCTAGATAATTCTAGATGCTCTCTCTTTATTTTTCCTATGTGAACCATAAACTCTTCTAAGTCTTATACAAAGTATAGAAAGTATTTTATACGTTATCCTCTTTGATTTATTTTGTCTAATGAAATCAACTAATTCATTTATTTTTATAATCGTAGGTATTGCTTGTTGCAGTATTCATAATTTTATCCGTCAAAATGCACTAGTTGGTTGCTTTTTTATTGGGTATGAAGAAGAAGATGATGTTATTGGTAAGGGGAATGCTAGCACGATTCAAGGACCGAATGCAGTTAACTTCTATGAAACAAGGTCTCATGGGATAGAATCACATACTTTTACCAGTGATGTTCATCCAAATTTCATCCAGATGATGTTTCACATATTTCATTTTTTTCCATGTCATACATGGAATATATGCTTGTTCTATTAATTGCCTTTTAAGTTTGGATGAGAAGTGAGAAGGTTTATGTATGTAGACATTGAATTCATGTAATGTTATGAATGAAAGAAACCCAAAATACAAGAGCAGTTTTTTGCTACACAATTCCTATGATGATGGTTTATGTATATAGATATTGAATTTATGTAATATTATGAATGAAAGAAGCCCACATAATACAAGTCTTTTTCATTTTTAGTGCATTTTTTGTTAATTTGAAAATATTTAAGAGTAATTCACATCTAATTTTTATAATAAATCTAAGAAATAAATAAAAAATAAGTGAGTGATATGCAATATTCTTTATTTTTATAAAATTATTTTTAACCAATCAGTTTTATGAGTTTTTATTTTCCGAAAACTATTTTGTAATTTTCCCAACCAAGCAGGTTGAAAAAGTGAAAAAATTGAAAACTGTTTTCTATTCTGATTCTCTAAAAAGTGTTCTTCAGAACTATCTTTAAAAATACAATCCAAGCAAGGCCATTGTATTCTGAAAATGTGTTTCCTATTCTTCATTTTTTTCAGCAACCAAACAGAGGGTTATTTTTTTCCTTTAGATTTATTTCATTTTCTCATCAACTATATCTGATATAGGAGCGTGATACTATTGCGGTGACTTAATATAGAGTTGTGGGCAAAACCAGCTGTGGCAATCTTATTACATAGAGGAACAACATGCTTTGGTATAGCCTCTCCGTTGACATGCACCGGAAAGCCCTCTCTCTGAACTTGTGTGATTCTGTGACTCCATTTGATCACCACAATCCTTCACATTCTTAGCCTTGGATAATTACCTTTGTTTTCCATGGGATCTAATCTATTTGTACTCCTTCCCTGTTACGTCATCAGCTAGCATTACCTGAAGTCTGTGCATTATTGGTATTTCACATTCATGAATTATATATATTTTTATAATAAATTAATAACTAAGGGTAAATTAGTAATTGTATCAATTTGCCGGACGGAAAGTTGTCTTTAATGGCCTTAAAGGGGGCATTTTGTTTGCTTTTAATAGTTGAGGGGGGAAACATGCTCCTAAAAATAGTTCAGGGGGTATTATGCAACAATTGATTTATGGGGTTTTTTACTCTTTTGCCTATAAAATATATAAAAATAAATAATTTTATAAAATGACCGAAAAAGACATTATTGGAGGACGTCTTTCACGTGCAAAAAATACCCCTAAAGTTTTAATTTGGTGCAAAAAGATCCCTCTGATAAATTTAAACCCTAAATTGGCTAAATCACTCTTACTGAACCGTTTTATAAAATATATAAAAATAAATAATCTTGTAAAATGACTGAAGATGACACTACTGGAGGACGTCGATAATGGACAAGTAAAGATAAAAATATAAAATAAAAATAAAAGTATAAAAGAAAAGTAAAGAAAAAATTAGAAAATAAAAAACGAAAATAAAGTGTAAACTAAAGAAAACAAATCTGCTCCAAACTCTAAAAACTAATGCCTCTGTTACATGGACTCTTCTAAAGTAGTGAAGTACCCGTGTCGGATACATATCCCTCGGATATGGGTATGGGATATGTGTCCGACATTTTTGGTTGGACTTGTACTTAAAAAATATAGTCAATCATTCAATTACATTATATTATTACTTTAAAATGAGTTATATGTCTATATTGAACATTATATTAGATAAAAACATTATTTTACTCTAGAAAATAAAATAAAATAATTAATAAAATGAATTTTTAGCCGTATACGTGTCCTTCTGTTTGAAGATTTGACACGTCCAACTCATGGATACACATCCGTGTCCGACACTCTCGGATACGTCCATGTAACATAGACTAATGTAAACTGATATAGGGATTTTTTTTTTTTTTTTTTTTTTTTTTTTTTTTTTTTTTTTTAACAGTGTTGGTACGAAAAAAAATTAAAATAAAGAAAAATAAAAGTAGAAAAATAGTAAACTGAAATCTCAAAAAATTCAAATTCTTGTTCTACAAATTCTCAAAGTTTTTTTTTTTTTTTTTTTAGAGATATATATAGAGAAAAAAATTATATATATATATATATATATAAGGGTAAAGTGCACATAATACCTCTATACTATGAGATTAGTAGTATATATACTCGAAAGAGTAAAAGGGCAAAACGGGTATTACAATATTAATTTATGTCAAATTTTTGATTGAGAGGTATTTTTGCACAATGTAAAAAGAATATTGGTGTTTTTTGCATACTTTTTCAAATAAGAATAAAAGTATTACACGGAGTATACTTTAGAAGTGTTTTGTGCACTTGTCTCATATATATATATATATATATATATATATATATATATATATATTTTGCTACCATTTGATGTTTATGGTTTATTTATTTTTTTTGTTAAAGGTCAAAAATGGTTAATATCAAAAGTTGCTTATGCTATCAAAATTAATGTTTAAAATGTGTATACAGACAATAAAAGCTACTCCAAACGTGATGATAACTTAGAAAACCTCAGCTTTCTTAAAATTATAGACCTCCCCATGTTCAATTTTTTAATTAATAGGGGAGGTTAGTGAAATCTATAAATGCATAACAGAGGTCTCTTAAATTTTGAAATTTCTCTATATATTTATGATTTAATTACACAAACAAAGAAAAAAGATTTTTATTTTCTGTTTTTTAAAAAAACAACTATCTAAAAAATTGCGCCACTTTGCCTCTTAATATGATAAATATATTTCGTATTTTTTTTCTTTATTAACAAATAACTCTCGCTCATTTATTCTTAATATTCCAATTTGAAAAAGAAAGTCAAATCAACGGGTATTATTTTATTTATCGGCCAATTATTTACCAACACAAATTATGCAATTAAAAAATAAAAGTTTGGCAACCTGGCAAGGGATATATTAAACTAACAACACTCACTTATCTTTTGATTAATAATAAAAAATTACAAGTTTAAAGTTCTTAAGCAAACAATTACAAGCGTCAATACTCAAAGGGGACCCATTCCACGCGTCAACATTCTAGAACCTAACAAACACGTGGACCAATCAGATCGCGCAAACTGATCGTATCGCAACCCTCCCTCTCGTCCACGAATTCTGATACACATCCTCTATGTGTCGTCGTTGTTTTGATCTCCTCGCCACGTGTCATCTCCTCGTGAACCCTCTTATTTAAATAAAAATAATAATAATAAAATAACACGAAAATTTTCAAAGCCAGCACGTTTCAAGCCTCTCTCTGGAACTTCCCAGATTTGTCTCTCTAAAAGCATCCAAATTAGGGTTTTCTCTCGCTGCTTTGGGACGAAAAAGTTTTGGATTTTCGGAGAGGTGCGTAGTCTTCCGGCGTGCTGTTCGTTTTCTGGTGAGTTTTCCGGCAAGATCTTGGTGGAAATGATGGCTTAGTGTTCATAACTTGATTTTTTTTTTTTTGGAACTTGCCGAGAAATTTGGGGTTCCGATTTATGGTTTGTTTATTTATTTATTTTTGAATATTTTGGTACTGTGGAAAAGTAAGAGCTTTAAGTGATATGTGATCTTGATTACTGTAGAAAAGTAAGAGCTTTGAGTAGATATGATGGTTTAGTTAGAGTAAATATTGACAAGTTTTCTTGATTCGGCACTTCTGAGAAATTTGGGGTTTTGATTTATGCTTTGTTTGGGAGCAGAGAAAATGCGATGAAGGAAAATAAATTAAAGTTTTGAGTGTTTTTTTTTTTTTTTTTTTCAGTGTTTTGGTACTGTAGAAAAGTAATAAATTTGCAAGTGATGTGCGATCTTGATTACCTGAGTTGTGTGTTCTATTTTATAAGAGGAAATATTTTAAAATTTAGATTTTTCTGTATATTTGCTCTGAGAAACTTGTTTGGTTGCTGAGAAAATGCCATAAAAGAAAAGAAATTAATTTTTTGAGTGTTTTTTTTCCTAGTATTTTGGTACTTTAGAAAAGTTAGAAATTTAACTGATGTGTGATTTGATTAACTGAGCTGTGTGTTATATTTTTAGGAAATGTTTTAAAATCTAATTTTTTCTGTATATTTACTCTTTTTTCTCAGCAAGCAAACCACGGGATTGGGGGATAGTTAGGGTGGTTGTGGTTTAAGTACACTGTCATTAGTTTCTAATAGTTTTGTGTGTTTACGTATTGATTAGGATAACGGAGAAGGAGACGATTTGTATACCCGATATGACATCTGTTCAGACAATTGCTTGTATTTTTAGTGCTGGATAGAGGAAAATTCAAGGAATGTCTGACTTGTGCATGTATGAGGTAAGAATTTCTTTTTAAATTAAAATTTACACACACACACACACACACACACACACACACACACACATAAATATATAAGGACACCTTTGATCATTAATGCACACTGTTTAGGATGTTTCTGCATGGTAAGGGGTTTTTTACTTTATGAATTCTTATTCCTTATTCTCTTTGAATGATGGATTAATTATTATACATTGTTCAGCCTTTGAACTTTATCCTTTGTGTGTGACTAATTTCAGTGTCGTTGGTTATTAATAGTTGCATATATAGTATGTTTTGGTCTTCGTCTAGCTTCATCCCATCTGCATCATCTTATATTCCTTTCTGAACTTGATTCATATTAGCTAAGTTTTATAATTTCAGTTTTGATATGCTCTCTCTGTTTTAGCTTACCGATGTCGATATTCTTGTATATTTTTCAGTATGTGCTGGAAAAATGATTTGTAATCTCAATTCCTTATCTTTTCCATGAAATACCATGATTCACAAGTTATCGCAATATTTGACTGGTTTCTTTTACTCTTTTTTTTCGTGGAAAGTATTTTAAGAATGTATTGTTAACTCTGCAGTCATTACAGCTAAAATTCTGTAACTGTTGTTACAGCTTGAAGATATTGGCTGGCAAGAATTTGGACAGGAGGATGATCATATAGTGCCTCATCCTGATGATAAACATGAGAGTGAAATTAGCCATACGAAATCTCAATATGAAGTAATTGGTGTTTCAAGTAGTGATGGTTACCAGTGTGCTGCTAATTATGTTACTCAGGTAAAGGAGGAAGGAGACTTTTCAACTTGTAAGAACAGGAGGAATAAAATGTTGGAAAAGGATTCATGGGCACACACACCTGAAGGTGTGTCTCCTGCTTCATGTGATGGTGAATCAATCAAAGAAGAGTCAAGTTTATCTGATAATTCTAGGATGCCAAGTCATTGCTTCAAAAGCAGCAATGTAGGTTCAGTTTGCAGTGAGTTTTGTGCCGATGATCCTATCAATGGTGACAGGTCTGCAGCAGTTGACAATAATTCCTATTGTTATCCACTTGATCACGATTCTCAAACTGACAAAGATCTCAGTTTTCTTGTTAATGATTGTGAGGACAAAGAATCTAGTGATCTCTTCTATTATGAGTGGCCGGATATAGAGAACTTTGAGGATGTTGACAGGATGTTTAGGTAAGGGCCTTCATATCCATTTTTTCTTACTTTCTTTCTTTTTCTTATGATACATAAATACTTATTTATTTGTATGCAGTGGTTGTGACACAACATTTGGGCTTGGGGATGTTGGTAACGAAGATGACCTTGGTTGGTTTTCATCATCACATGCTATTGAAGGATCTGATGATTTATTAAAATCAGATTTCAAGTTTTCTTGTCCAGAATCAAGTCCATCAAAAAATATACCAGAACACTCGTATAAACTGGATAATTCAAGTTCTGTAATCAGTGATTTCAACATGGAAAATGCACCTGTTAGCTATAAATCTAGTTATCAAACATCAAAGGATTACGAGTCTGCTGCTCTTGATCACTTGCCTTTCATGAATGTGTCTGATTTGACATCTGAAAGCAAGGATGAGTTTACACAGAAAGAGCAGGTCAGTAAAATTCATTTTATTTTCAAATGTTTGCAATATGTTCTATATTTCATTTTGATCGACTCAGGAGTGACTGTTTTACAAATTAGAAGCATTATAGGTTTGTATATGTTTTTGTGGGGAGTTGAGTTGTATTTTATTTTCTTTACATGCTATACTTTACCTTTTTTTCCTAAATTACACGTTATACTTAAATCCACTAAAAGTTTTGAGTTACACTAAAACAGAATTGCGTATCCATTTCGACATAAAATTGGATTTGAGTTATGTTTATACATCAATAAAAAATTAGGTTTGCTTTTAACATTTGGTTTATTCTTGAAAACTTAGGGTAAATTACACTTTCCATTCCATAATTACACGGACCTGCCCTATGGTTTTAAAAATTACTCTGACCTCCCTTAAAAAGCACACCTTGTAACACGGACCTCCCTTGTTACTAACGGACCACTAACAGAGCTACCAGTTGGTATAATTTTACTCAAATGCCCTTATATAGAATAACATTAAATTAATAGATGTGTTGTAAACTGAAATGACCAAACTGCCCAATTAAAAAGTGATAATAAATTTTAGTTAGTGTGCTGGAGCTGTATATAAACACTATAGGAAAAACTTCCACCTTCAAATTTCTACTATTTTATATTATTCTTTTATATACAATGAATGGTTTATTTATTAATTTATTCTTTTCCTGGTAAGTATACACAACATATAAGGACAGAACGATTCTCACTGTTTTAGATTTATTTTGGTGGAGAAGAAAGAGTTGACACCAGTGGCGGTGTTGGATTTCAATATGTTGTGCTGGATGGTGGCTATACAGACACAAGGGGAAACACGAGAAAAAAAATAGATATAAGTATATGTGAAAAACTCTGATTATGCAAAAAGCATATTTGATCCTCTAGAGTCCAATCAGGGGGATAAGATAAGTTCAAGGTAGATGCTTTTCAACTCTAGAAGTCAAATTACATGATTTATATGTATATATATATATAGTGTCCTGGTATATACATATGTATGTGAGTGAAAGAAAGAATCTGATTAATATGCAAAAACATATGTGTTGATTTACAGATTCTTAAACGGGAGTGATTTCCAAGATGAGTTTGAGCAAGGTGAAGTTGAGAAAGTGCCATCAGCAATGGGAAAAAAATACCCACATTTAACGAACTCTAAGATTTCCTTGTAAACCCACATTTATCCACTAAGCTTTCCACAGAATCCCAGGTTCTTCTACCCTACATATATTAGCCCCACACACAGTCACAGACGCATATACCATATGAAACTTACATTTAGTTCCTACTTGCCTTACTGGAAAAAATGGAGGCCAATTAACAGTGGCCAGAGAAGTTGCTTTTCTCTTTCTCTGGCCGCAATCTATGGTTGGCGGAGATCGAGCACTATACCTAGTTTTCCAAATTGGGAAAGTGAATTTGTAAAAATACTGGAATAACCTTTCAATTCATTGTGCCCAAAAAAAAAACAATAGGGCTAATTTTGGCTTTTCAATGTAGGGACAGAGATTGGGTATTTTTGCAACTTACCATTATTATTTTGGTTAAAAGGGTCTTTGTATTTAATAAGGGCAATATTGGCATTTTACTTATTTTATGTGCATGACATAAGCATTTGCCATCATTGACTTACGATGACTGTTTAAATGGGAGGTCCATGTTACAAGGTTTGCATTGTAGGGGAGGTCAGTGTAATTTTTAAAACCATAGGGAGGTCCGTGTAGTTATGACCAACCTTAGGGAAGGTCAGTGTAATTTACCCTCTGGTTTATGTATGAGAGATAGTCACTAAGTTTCTTCTATGTTAAATTTAGCTGGGAGCAATTTTCTCTTTTTTAAACTCCATAGATGTGTTATTACATGGCAGATCAATTCGCATAAAAAGCATTCAAAGCACCACAACCAATCAGTAGGAAGAAGGAAAGGCCGATGCTTAGAGAATGGTGGTTCATATCATCATAGTGGAAAGCTGCAATCTAAAGACACAAAGCTTCCTTCTCAGGATTCATCTTGTCCAGTTTTTCCCTCCCCAGGCGTTAGGCAACAAACGCAAAACATGAGACTTGATTCTTTTGGTCACTTGCGGACCCATAATCCTTATATACATCCAGACATCCGTCATCGTTCGAATCAAATTTCAGTCAGCCCTGTTCTTTCTGCTGTCAAATACAAAAATAATGGTCTAGCATCTCTCTCCCAGAAGGAGTCTTCTTACGCATCAAATCAAGTGCAGTCTGTGGAGAGATCCCATGATTATTCATTTGAGGCCCCTGCTATGGAAGTAAATGAGAAGAGGAAAAAACCATTTCTCAGACAAGGATTTCAAACCTCGTGTAGAAGTAACCATAAACACACAGATTCGGTGGTTCAGGCTGCACCTTGCAGTCCAATTTCAGTTTGGAAGAGACAACATTCTGAAAATGAAGTTGAGAATCCCAGTGACGCTGAAGAAGTTAGCATGGGAATTTCAGCAGAATTAGAGTTTACAAATGTACAGGATAGCTCTTGCTTGAGCTCTGAATTGAATGAAATCTCACAAGAAGCAACTAGTTTTCGCCAGCTTCAACATGTCATGGAACAGGTATTATTGGTTTTAGTTATATCCTTTAAACCTAAAGCATTCTGTTTTGCAGCTGCCATGATACAGAGAGATTGCTGGAGCATTTGCTTATGTAATTTTGTAGTGTGCGATATTATGTGTTTCTAAGTGTCTCTGTTCTTTTAAAGTGTATTATTGTTAGAGGTCTTGTCGCACATCGGAACCGGATGGGGAGGGTCTTGGGTTTATAAGGGCTGGCAGTACCACCCAACAACTTAAGCTTTTGGGTTGGATGGCAAGTGCCTGGCCCGTTACAACTAGTGGTATTAGAGTAGGCTCAGTTCTTTATCCGGTGTCATGCTAAGCACTCACACGGGAGGTGTCTTGATCAGGATTGTTACTGGGTCCTCCCACCATTAGGGGGGACGGGTAGGCAGGGTGGTCCAACCACAACAAGGGCCTTGCGAGTTCGGGTGGGGGAGAATGTTAGAGGTTCTTGCCCCACGTCGGATCCGGATGGGGGAGGGTCATGGGCTTGTAAGAATGGGTAGGCAGTATTGCCCAACAACTCGTTTTTGTGTTAGATGGCAACCGTCCGGCCTGTTACAATAATCCTATATGCATATCTAGCACACACTTATAACACAACTATTATACACATCACTCATAGCTTTATATTGTCTCACTTGTAAATGAGTGAGAAAGAAGGTAATTCAATTATAATTTTTTGGGCTGACCTATTTTATAGCCTGAGTTGGAAGGCAGTTCGAAACGTCCATGTGCATGCATGAAGGAATGGGACTGCTCTGTAATAGCATCCATGTTATGATAAGTAGGTTACAACAAGGGATGTCTTATTCCGCATTATGTTGTATGCATGCCTTCATGGAGAGCAGCTGGGCACGTGTGTTGGAGTGAGTAAAGAGGTGATTGGAAAGAATGTATGTGAAAGACCTTGGAATGTTTCTGAACGTTTATGACAACTGCTATTGCACTAGTGCCGCTTTGTTTATAATGTTGCCTGATTGTACTCGATACTTTATTGGAACTGACTGAGTTGAAGCTGCTTGATTTCAGTTGGACATAAGGACAAAATTATGCATAAGGGATAGTCTATATCGCTTGGCTAGGAGTGCTGAGCGAAGGCATAACTGTGCAAACCTGAATGGCGGCAGCAGAGATGATACTGGTGGAGCGTTGATGGATGAAGGAACAAATAAGTATGTATCACTGCTTTCCCTCTGCACTTAATCTTACTAGTCTGTTTAAGAGATGTTTGGTAGTACTGACAGGTGGTTATTCATTTTTAGTGCCTCAGTAGTAACACGGGCACAAGAGATGCTGCATATATTTAAACTATTTAAGTGGTAACAATTATTGTTTTCTTAAGCTATTTAATAGTCCTCATCAATCCAGGCAAACAAAATCTGAACACATCCTGTGATCCAGGCTGTCACATGATGAAATAACAAAAATCTGTTAAAGGCAGTGACTTTTCCTCCCTTAAATTTCATGTGTATATTTCCTACTATTTTCACACTAATTTTGCTTTAAACAGTGAGTTTGTAATCTATTACTACTTGTATAGAAGTGCCTGGACTTGATTGTGATCATATATTATAGCATACCATGTTTGAGTTATTTTAATGCATTTTCACTTTGCACGCGGGCCCTTGGGAAAGATAATGATAACAAAAGGGAAGAATTTTTTTCTTGCTTGTTGGAATGTCCTTTTGGTGCTTTAACTGCAGGCTAGGTATAATAAACCTTTCTACCAAAAAGAACACAGAGAGAGACCGGTCTTGTTCCTTTACCAACCTTCATGTTAACCACCATGAACAAATAATTGCTTTGATTTTTTCTTCTAATTAATTGAGTTCTAGTACAACTCAAGTCTGGTTAACTGTCTGAATTTTGCTTAATTGTTTTATTTCAGGTGCAATGGATTCATGGATATAGAAACTAATACAAATCCTATAGATCGGTCTATTGCACACTTACTGTTTCACAGGCCCTTAGACTCATCTGTAATGCCTGCACATGATGCTTTGTCAAACAAGTCACATATGGTAAGATTATGTACCTTTTTTATAGATCGACTCTATACTAAATGGAGTTTCTGGATTTAATGCTCAATGTCCATTCCATCCTTTCAAACCTCACTTACAAAATTGAATTAACAGGTTCATGGGTTGATCGCTAGTCCACCTGTGAAGGCTGAGAACCTGGTTTGTCAGGAAGAAACTGCAGCTGAAGCAGATAAAAAGGTCGCTGATCAGTGACGGCAAACAACAAAGAATCATTAGCTGCAGCAGAGTTGTAAGAAAATATATCTACTTCGAACTATGTGCATGATCATGTATAAAAGAAACATTTTAGAGGCCCTAACATAGATGTCAGGTTTGGTTCCGTGTTTTAGATGTCATATATTAGATCTGTTTTCAAGTCTATGTTGGTGAATATCCTTGTATCAGTTTCTAAGATGGGCTGTTTATCTGCTCCTTTCACCCAAATAGCAGCTGTTGTTTATGCCAACTTTTTGTGGACATGGTATATTTCACTGTTATGAGTTATTCGATCTAGCACTCTGCTTCGCACCTGTTGATTGGTTCTAAATATAGTGAGGATGTGATTCATCATCTTTGAGATTTTTGCCCTCTTTTGGTCTTATAAACATCATAACTTGCAATTGTATATCTTTGCATCCATCCGTACTTTATACCAATTGATACATTGCATGATATGCTCTTGAACACATGTTGGACATGAACTTACAGTTACATATTTAAAGTCTAGGGTTTGCATTCATTTCATTTATATTTTGGAATTATCCATTAGGCCATAACATATTTGTTATGTTTTCAAATACCAGCATACAGGTCATTCGCCTGACAATTATCTTCATTTTGTGTTTTGGACCACCAAATCGGTGTCTTGGGATTGGAAACTAAATTTTCTCCGATCCTACGACGGTTCAGTGCTCCAAAACATAGCATTCAGTATAATGTCATCAATGCCACATCTGGCCGTATTATCTATGACTGATTGTGTCTCACTCAGCATTCTGGGCTGGTAGCAGAGTGGTTATGATTTTTACTACTGAACTAGTAGGCCTGGTATTTATTAAGGCCCTCCAATTAGTTACATGCCTTTTTTTTTGTTTTTTTCCTAGTCAGGTCCACTGTTTTTTAGGATGTCCTAACTTCCTCACTCACTGTTTTTTCTTTCCCATTAAATTCCCTCAAAAAAAAATTTGGAATCCCTTCAAATTCCATTCCTTTTAAAATTACGTGGTTTCAAATACAGTATTAGCTTTACCATTTTCCCTTCGAAATTCTTTTGCAATTCAATTCCTCCAGTGAAATACTGTTCCAAGGACCAAATTAGGGATGGCAACGGGGCGGGTTTGGAGCGGGTTTCCCTAAATCTCGCCCCACCCCGCCCCTTTTAATTTATGTCAAGTCCATGACCGCCCCGAGACCAGCGACGGGTTGGATTTTCATGTCCAGTCCCACCCTGTTGGGAAATACTATACCTCCGTGCCTGCCCTGCTAACAAATTTTTTTCTCTCACTTTTTGGATCTTAAGCTCCTGCTATTCAAATGTGGAAAGTTTGGGAATGACACAACATAAATTAAATGATGTATCCCAACAAAAATAAAAAAAATAACATGCACACAACATAATTCAGATAACGTAATAAACAAAAATAAAAGTTTAATACAATCAAATCACAATGAAGTTCTAAGTTCCAACTTTCACCATAACTAAAACAAAAGTAAATTTAATACAAGTTTACATCCTAAATTAGGATTGTAAGAGATGGGTAATGGGTAAGTAGCTAAAATAAGTTACTAGTATTAATATTATATATATATTATAAAATATAGTTATATGCTTAGCGGGGCGGGGCCCTTAGGATATGTATATTAAACCCTTACCCGTCCCGTGACCCGCGACGGGTACAAAATTTGTATCCATGCCCGCCCCAACGGTATAAAAAGTGTTTTTATATCCGTTATTAACGGGACAGGACGGGACGGGATCTTGGCGGGGCGGTAAAAATTGACATCTCTAGACCAAATTAGTCTCCTCCAAACGCTTTGTTTGGAACCAAATTCTTTGGCATATGGATTTAGAATGGGAAAAGGAATTGGATTGGAATTAAAATGAAATTTCATTTGTGTGTTTGGTAATCAGAAGTTAAATGAATTAAATGACCTTTGTGTTTGGATGTTGAAAGGAATTGGAAAGGAAAATAAAATAAATAGAACTTGTACTCCTTCCGTTTCAAAATAATTGAGTATCTTGAAAATTGTGAGTCACAATAAGTCACAGTTTTCAAAATACTCAACTATTTTCGAATGGAGAGAGTACTATTTATTGTAAGTTATATTTCTCAAAATAATTGGATATTTTGAAGACGGTGAATTACAATTTTCAAAGTATGTAATTATTTTTAGACTTTACCTTACAGTTTTCAAAGTATCTAATTATTTTTAGACTTTACCTTTATAACCGTGTACACAACAACTAATAGCATCAGTTGACAGATTTAGATAAAGCATAGGAAAACGAATTAAAATAAATAAAGAAAATAAAAAATTGACCAGACATAACATGCACCCTGCCAGGGGACCAAACATATAATACCCACCCCCATTATTTTTCATATGGGGACCAAACATATAATACCACCCCTTTCTATATCTTACAAATTTTTTAATTTTGACTTGAATCCAACTTTCAAAGAAATCTATATTGTTAAACTATTTATCACCAACGGTGTAATCTACCCAATCTCAAAGAAGAGGGGACTTAGGGGAGTGGTTCAAATCCAGGTGTGAATATGGCTATCAATGATCAAATTCAAATCAGATCGATTAAATCTATATTCGATTTGTTAGACTAACGAGTTATCAAATTCGGATTGCTAATGGGTTATCAGATTTAATATTTCATTTTATATCATATTTAGCTCATATTCATATTCAAATTTAAATCATATTTAGTGATATATAACTATGCAACCAAATGAATATAGTGGTAAATAATTAATATATAAATTTAGTTATAGATAACTAATATATATATATATATATATATATATATAAATTTAAAAGTGCATGAGTGGGAGGCGTGAGTGTGTTTTTGCCCATGTAAAAATAAATAAATTACAGATTGTGATAAATAAAAAAATTCTATTTCGTTAAGAGAGAATTTGACAATATAATCAAATTTTCTAAAACATCACATTCAAACTTTATTTGAGATATAAAGTCAGATAAATCCCAATAAAAAATAAAATACCTAATTGAATCTCCAAATGGTCTAATATACATTATTTTTCTCTTCGAATTAAGCTTTGGAGACCAACAGAAAAATAAAATAAAGCAAAATAAATTAAAGCTAAGACCAACAGAAAAATAAAATAAAGCAAGCCAAACAAAATCCATCTAAGATTTCATATTCATATTCCATGACAACCACTTTTGACGCATATCAGCTGGGCATCTAAAAAATCATTCAGTTGCTGTGAGATCCGAAATAAGCAAATCATAAGCAGTAAATAAAAAGTTATTGTCAATTCCCTCCATCTTTTGTAGTTCAAAAAACACTTTTTGTCCTGAATAAAATCGACGCCTACCTGTCTCAGCCACAACATTAGCTCTCCCAAGAGCACTTGCAATCTTGTTCAAATTTGTAATATTACTAATATGGTAGTTAAGTTCAGCCGTTTTGATGGTCTTTTTCTTATTACCCTACGAAGATGTAGATACAGAAGCAGATAACACATGAGTACTAGCAAATTGTCTAATTGTATATTCATTGTCCTCAAAATTTTCAATATCAATTTCGTTTCTTGCGAAGTCGTCAATGTCCTTGATTTTGATCCCCTTTCTTCATTTGTCCAACGACGATTCTTTTCTTTTGTTGTTTCAGCTGTTGCCTTCTAACTCAATCTTTTTTCAAAAAAAATATGAAGCATGTTAAGGCATGAAAGTGTTGCATTACACACTTTTCTTTTGCATTAGGATAAGATTATTAATATAAAAATATTACAGAAGTTCAAATTGTAATATAAGAAAATTGAAAAAAATAAATGCATAAGAAATTTATATATATTTTTACCTTCACAAGAAACTCACACACCCACCTTGCCTCAATGAAGACCTGAACCCTTATCATTTCACTTTGAAAAAAAAAAAGAAATTTATTTATTTACTTTTAATTAAAACATCATTACCTTGTTTCAAAATTTATAGAATAATATCCATTTTCCTTTTTAGAGTTTTTTTTTTTTTTGTCTATTCTACACTTTATCTTTATTCACTTTCACAAAAAACACCAAAAAACAAAGTGCATTAATCACAATAACATGACAACTACATTATAAGAGATTGTTGAAATTCCTATCAAGCTTTTATCCTTATCGTCGGAGAAGATACTCATCCATTTGAAGTATCGACACTAAATCCATTTAAAATTGATATACTTAAATCATTATTAATCTTTTATTCCGTTATTTTTTCCTGAAATTCTTCACTATCCCCAACATTTTTTGAAATTGAGCTACTTAATAGTTTGCATGTTGATAGTATATGTGACAATAATGTCGTGACACACAAGCAACCACTGTTCCAACTGCCTTTTACATTTTTATTTTTTTTCGGTAATCGGAATGTCCGGGGGTTTGTCTCGACTAATTTACGGGACTCGTGCAAAGCGACCCCCTATACAGATTAGAAAAAACTCAGACTATGTCCGCGATCGTGATCCCAAAAAATTACTCGTCGGCTCCAAGGCCCAAACCTTTTCCATTAGGCCAATCCCTTGAAATTAATTACCTTTTACTTTATTCGTTCTAATTCTTTCATATTATCCAGAGTAATAAAATAAAATTACAACAAACATCATTTACCATTTATAAATTATTTAAATACATTTATTCATTAAATGATCCAGGATGGTAATTTTGATTTTATTATACCCTATAAAAATAGATGACTATTAGCCAAGTGACTTTAAGGTTTTGAGCCACAAAAGACAAACATACCAGTGACATGCAGGGCTCTGTACTGACGAGATAGAACAGAAACATTCAACAATCACAGGTCACTTTCTTATATATTTGATAAATCTTAGGATTTATATATATATATATACACACACACACACACATATATATCGTAGTGATTCATCTACACTTTTTATAATAACCGGTCACATTTCACATTACAAATCCACTTATATCATTCCTTTTTAATTCAAAACTACTTTCAACTTATTTTTAATTTTCAAATTTATTATTTAAAAGATAAATAATACTAATGACTTAGAAGTCAATTTTTTTGAGTGAATTACGAAATTCATCGTTGTACAATTTTTTTTTTTTTCTTTTTCGGTAAGCAATTAAATTTACAATTATTTATTTATTTATTTGAAGGCATATTGGTAGGCAATATTTGTGCTCTAATTTTTTTTTTTTTTTTTCACACCTCATTTTTTACTCTTATATTTTTTTATTATAAATGTGGAGCCAATGAGCGAGATTTTTTTTTTTTTTTTTTTTTGACAATGATAATATACCTGGTAGGTTGACTATCTTTTTTAGAATAGTTAGAGAATAAAAAAATTATTTAAGT